TCTCCCAAGACAGAAACCTGAAGATACCAAACTCTCTTTCTCCTGTGCTCCTACCTATTGCTTTGGAGTAATACGCAGGTAATTTCTGCTGCAACCTGTTTTCCAGATGTACAGGTAGTCTTGATTTATGACCACAATTGGAACTTCCATCACTAACAAAGGGGATTGTTAATTGAATTGTGCTTGATTATATGAATTTTTTTTGCCATGGTCATTAAGCAAATCATTGCAATTATTAAGTAAATCATGCAGTTGTTAAGTGAATCTGGCTTGCCCTACTATGGTTTTGCTTGTCAGAAGCCAGTTGGGAAGATTGCAAATGGTGATCATGTGACCCTGTGATGCTGCAACCTCTGTAAATAACCCCCCCGCACCTCCCCCCCCCCCCGGTTGCCAATCAACCAAATTTTTGTTACATGAGCACCGGGACATTGTAAAGGTTGTAAGTCTGAGGCTTAGTCATGACTCACTTTTTTCAGCACCATCATAATTTTGAATGGTTGCTATGATCATATGTCAAGGATTATCTGTACCTCACTGATACCATTCCCTAATCTGAGTTTATGAGAGGTAAGGCTCTCACACACTGCACTGCTTTTCTGAAGATTAAACAACCAGAAATCAAAAATTTAAATACATTTCAATTTTGCCAACTGCTGGCCATGTAGCACAGATGCCTGTAGATTAGAGCAGGGCTTTTCAACCAGTGGTACGGGTACCACCTGTGGTACATTCGCACCTTGCAGGTGGTACGCAACCATCCTAGAAAAGTAGTGGGGGAGGGGAATGAACTGAACCTGTGGCAACACTGCACAAGCCTGAGCGAGAGATGGCTGGAGCTGCAGGGTTGTCAGGGCTCAGTGAAAGTGCCAGGATCAGCACCAGGCTCCAACTGGAGCTTGGCGCTGGTCCTGGTGCTTCTGCTGAGCCCAGAAGAAGCGCCGATCAGCTGGAATGTTGCAGCCTCTCCAGGGTCTTGTGATTTACATTCAGATGCTTGGCAACTGATTCATATTTATGACGGTCACAGTGTCCCAGGGTCATGTGAAGTGACCAAAACCTGCTGCAACTACCCAGCAGTCGGGGGGAATAAAAACCAAACACTCCCCCACCCCACCACCACTGCCAATCCCCAACAGAAATGCTCACAACAATGAAAATCTTGGACAGGAGGAAGAGTGCAACCAGGCAGGCAGGCAGGTGTATTGCTTGGCTGTGGCTTGGGGGGCACTTTTTTCAGTGCCATTGTAACTTCAAACAGTCACTAAGTGAACTGTTATAAGTCGAGGACTACCTGTACTTTATCACTTTTTTCCTCTTTTTTTTTGGGTCATCAAGTTTTTGACACCTTGCTAGCGGACTGGTGGTACTCGGATGTTGCCATATCCTAAAAGTGGTACAATGGGTGAAAAGGTTGAAAAGCCCTGGATTAGAGGATTCAACTTTTCTTCACTACCACAATGTTCCATCTGCGAAATAAAGAGAATGCCGTCCAAAGTAGTAATTACTATGGACAAACAACTGCTAGGTTTTATCCTCCCACTATCTAGATTTACACATTATGCTAAGTCCTGATTTCTTCTGATCCTGAGTTGAATAAATCCCAGTTTTTGGATCTGCATAACTTAAGTTGTAAACCATAATTGGAAAGTTACCGTGCTAAGCTTTACATGCTAAGACCAAAACAAAATACAATTCTTTGTAATCTAATTCCATGTAATTAATTAATAATATAAACTCCACCAAACGGAATGGAGTTTGCCTTTTAGAAAGAATGCTTAAGAGTGCAGTTCTTTTTAGATTAGAACTGGCCTAGGTTCAAATTGCTAAACTGCTATAAACTCATTGACTCTGGATCACTTACCATACTTATCCTATAAGTGGAAAATTCTCTAGAATTCCTCAGAGGAAAATTGAAATATAAAATAATTGTAAGTTATTTTGGGAGCTATTGTGGCACATTTGGTTATCTATGTAGATCAGTGGTCCCTAACTTTTATGACTTGGCGGCCCGGTTGGGGGGAGAGAAGGAAACTAGACTGCGCAAGTGGTGGCCCGCCATGCACACATATGCGCTGGCCTGCGTTTGTGCAAATTGAGTTGCATGCATGCCAGCCCACCACTTGTGGAAGTCAACCTGTGCACATGCACACCAGTCTGCCACTTGCACGTTGAGCTGTACCTGTGCGCCAGCCAGCCATCACATAGCCCAGTTTCAAACAGGCCACAGCCCTGTAATGAGCTGCGGACTGGGGATTGGGGACCCGTGATGTAGATGTTCAAATTGCTAAGCATGCATCAATGAAAATAGGTTTTGTTAAAATTATTGTAAAGGTTCTGCCATTTATTTCCTTTGGTGCAGAGCTGTGGGTTTTATTTTTTCCAGAAAAGAATCAAAGTGAATGTAAATTCATTAGGTCTATGGAAAGCAGCACTACATTGTCCACTACAAGTGGCAATCCACACAGCATTTCTTTTTAAGTAATTATAATGGAGCAAGCCTTTTTCTTGTGTATAACTAGTAAATGTCAATTGTCATTTTCTTTTTTTATCAAAAGTGATTTAAGCTTTTAGAAGACCATCACAAAATGCATAAAACTGTAGTGTACTGTACTGTTGGTAGAACAGCGTGTAACATCATTTTATCCAGGGCTGACTTCTGAAAAATATATTCTGGTATAATAAATTGAATACATCAAGTTCAGTAAGAAGACAACAATAGGTCGGGACCCTTTCAGGACTCATTGGAGTCTTAACTTGGGAGGCCTAAATCACTTGCAACCTTTTGAATTATATAGGCCTTTTACACTTGGGAAAGAAAGATAATAATCACTTATCATGGATAAGGTACCCTATTTATAACACACTGTTCACCTTGCTTGACAGTTTCATACTATAGCGGCATAAGGAGGACTCCAGGGACACAGTCCAGTTACTGCAAACTTGTGTCACTATATAATAATTAAGGACCAGTGTTAGCACACACAAAGGACAGTAAGTTCTAGCCAATGAGTGAACAAAAGAATGTTAATTTTACAGTCACCCATTCCATCAAGTATGAACACATGTTTCTGCTCATGAATTCTGTCATTATTTAGCCATTTCTCATTTGGGCAGTTATACAGTATGCAGATTATTTAAGTGGAAGAAAGCATTTTCACTATGGTTATTCAAATAAAAGCTGTATTGAAAGTTCAATAAAAAATATTGCCAGAGATAATTTTGGCAAGCCTAGTATGGTTTGGAGCCAGACAAAAGTCTAATTCCTATTATTTCTCTAGAGTAATTATCCCATAGTTATACTTAAAACTATTTCCCCTTTATATTGCTTTCTGAGTCATTTATTTATCAGCAAGACTAGAACACAATCATGTACATCTAATAATTCATATTGAATAGCAGTCCTCCCAATATGTTATCGATGTCACCTTGATGAACTAGGATAGTAGATCTGATTTGTACTAAAGGAAACTGTTAGTTTCTACTCTTGTTCACTCTGCAATTGAGTCTTTGCAGGATTAGGGAATAGTTGTTAGTCACCTAACATGTCTTCTCTCAGATACTACCTATAATATGGCCACAACTGAATGAAAATGGAAAACAATGTAAACATGATTCTGTTATGCTTCAGATGATAGCACATGCCTACAGTCTAATGAAGATCTATGCTTATAAACATATTGATTGGGAGCTGCCCAGAATTGGCAGAAAGAAGGACAGTTATATAAATGTTTTAAATAAATAAATCTCAATAAAAGAAATCAATTGTATCTGACAATAAAAATATTACTCAAAAGTGATGATAATTGATAGCTGGGGGAAAGGGGGAAACCAAAGTTTATTCCATAGTCTATAATAGAGATGAGCAAATCACAGGATCATTAAAATAAAAGGTTAGAGGTATTGTTGAGTTGCTTTAATGAGAACTCTCTTGATATTAGTGGAGAGCTAATTTTATGAATTGGGAAACTGCGATGTTGTATTACTGCATAGAAATGTTGATTTGCTCAATAGGTAGCCAGAAATAGGTAAGATTTGGGAGGCTCAGATGCAATGACTCATTTAACACTTAATTTATATCTTAAGTTTACAAATAACTGAGAAGCAGTAACAAATATGACTATTAGTACAAACAACTATTTTTGTAGATTCCATGGTCATTGGCCACAGTGCCACTCTTCAAAATCTATACCAGATCCCATTGGGTGTAAGGAAACAGCTAATTCCTAGGACACTGATTCACTTATGCAATAAAAAAAGCCCTTAATCTTTGTTAGAAATCAATTCCAAAACATTTTTTTACAAAATTAGTTTTATACTTGGAACTGACAAAGTAAGTCAAAACATTTCAAGGCCTGTATAGAGAGAGCTTTTTCTTTCCAGAGCACAAACATAACTATCCTTAGAACATCTGAGATAACAACTGATAACATTCACTTTTTATTTACTACAGTATTTTCACACACCTGGAAAAAAATGTAGCTAATTTTCCTTCCAGTTATTCATGATGTTATCTATTCTAAACCTTTGTCGGTACGCCCACATGTGTTTAAAAAGAGTAATGCAATAAAATGCTTGACTGAGAGCGCTGGTCTTCTAGGAACTTGTTTTTTTAAAAAAATAGAGAATGAAAGAAGAAAGAGTATTAAAATACCAGATAGCAGCCTTAATTTCATTTGCGAAACACCAAAGGACCTAAAACACTGGAATTCTTTTCAGGAAAACTTATAGCTTAGCACAATTCGTCTTAACCACTGAAGAAAAAATACCAACCCAACTCTGGTTATTTTCATTGTGGCTCTGCTTGATCTTTAAAATGAAATTCAGAGTTTTACGACTGCCTCTTCTCTGCTTCTTGCCAATGCTCGGGACATTTTATCTTGGTTAGAATCTGATGGTGCTTGAAAAGGGTAAGGGGAGAGCAAAACGAAAGAGAAGAACGAGACAGCGAGCAGAATAAGAGACTCGACCACTGATGCTAAACCAAGCGAAGCCGTTTTCAGGCTGAGGGTTGGTGTTCCCGCCCGGCCCCTTTTGAGTGGTGCACCGTTCGGACTTAGGGCGGGAGTCTCAGCTTCGCTGCAGAGGAAAGGTTTTGGAAGCGGTCCTGATGCCACGGTAAGTCACCAGCTCAAGCGGGAAATGGTGTGTGTGTCTGTGTGTCAGCGCATAGCCGAGGTTGGGTTTGCTCGTCGCAATTCAATTGACTCTGTTCTGAGAATCCTGATCAGTAGGTCTTGCGAACGCAGCCAAAGACAAACGGGTTCTGATAGTGCCACAGTGCCAGTTAAGAGTGCCTGCTAGCAGGAGGACGGACAGAGACCTCTTTCCCTATTACATTAATATCTGTGTTCCAGTACACTGACAGAGGAGTGTATTTAGGTGTCGCTTTTGTAGGTAAGGTGCTAATTTTTGCATGCGTTTGCCAAATCAGTTTTTCACGCTTGGCGGTGCCTGGAAAAGTGGCTGCAGTTTTCTTGACAAGGTTTTCCGGACGTTGGTTTGCCATTGCTGCTTAGGTCAGAGAGTGACTGGCCCAAGGCTAGTCCGTTGGCTTTGTGCCTAAGGTAGGACTAGAACTTATGGTCTTCTGGTTTTTAGCCTGATACCTTAACCATTACACTAAGCTGCCTCTCAGAGTGCTATTAATGCAGGAATATATAGAAATGACTATGGCAGTTGTGCTTTGAAGTACAGCCTATGACAGTGATGGCGAACCTTTTAGAGACTGAGTGCCCAAACTGCAACCCAAAACCCACTTATGCATCGGTGGGTGCTGGGTGGGTGTGGCCCATTGGGTGGCTGTGGCTGTGGTGGTAATGGCAGACTGGGTGGGACTAAAAAGTTCAATCAAACAATTCCAACTTTGCAAGATCTTTCCCCCCCCCCCCCGCAATAAGTTGAAATTGGCTTTGCAGGATTAGTATCCTAGTAAGATATGCAATTAAAGTAAAAAGTGAGCAACATCAAACTTGGAATTTATACAAAATGTGCACCATAGTCTGCTTGATAATTTGGTTGATTTTGGCTTTAAATATTATGTGAACCCAGCCATAATCAAAATAGGTATTCATTAGCTAGAGCTCTAAAAATGTTCAGACACATGTACATATGTGAGCTGACACATATGTGACAGACCTCTATTAATTCTCCAAGTAGTCAATTTTTGGTGAGTGGTAGTTCTACTTAACATGATGGAGGAGAGCTGAGGACTTACACAGGTAAGTAGACAAGATTTTTTTTGTCAATCATATTTTCCCCTATATTTAATATTCAAATTTTCCATTTAAATATATCATCCTAGTATTTTCATATTTCATATATTATAGAGATACTATATTACTTATCTATCATAACATCTATCCATAACATCTTTCTAGTCAATTTATATTTCACTTCTATTTGTAAAAATTTGTTAAATCACTATATATCCTTTTTTTCAGAGTTCTTATTAAGCTTAATTTCCCCTCAATATTTCAATCATTCCTTAATCCTAAATCTTTTCAAACTTAATTTGTTTTTAAAATTCAAACTTTTCCTTCACTTACAACAGATATATCAAACTTGCGACGTCATGTAATGTCACACAACGTATTGGAGCTTTTTCGTCATTGCCGCAATGGGGTTGGCGTGGTTTCCCGATGACGCATCCGGTCCGTGGGCCGGCAGTTTGAGACCCCTGACTTACAACATTCTAATATTTTTACATTTTGTATCTTATCAAAAAATACTATATTACTTATATCTCTTATCCTACTTATTCTAAAGTCCCTTTATGGCCAAAATTATTTGTTTATTTAGCCATATTCAAACAAGTGTTTACTCATATAATATTCCATCTGGTAGGGCGAATCCAGTCTCTTCAGCCCATCTCTAATCTTCGTTTGCCAAATTGTTTTCCAAATTAATATTTTCAACTTGTCCAGTTCTTTTATTTTTGTAGTTATTGTTAGGAGTAGAGGATACAGAGTAGATAGAATGTATGCTTTTTGTCTCCCAAACAATGATTCTCCTAGCAGTGTCCATTTTGGTCAGTCTTCTTCTCAGGTTTATTTTAACATTCTAATGCATAAGGTATCTTTTCTGTATTTATTGTTGTATCCAAGTCTTGTAAGTTTTTTCTTGTTGGTATTAAGTTATAATTCTCTTCATTTGTAACTTTACCAATTAAATCATTTTTTTCTAGTTCACATTCTGTTGTCTGGATTGTTTGTTCATTTTTTTTACCATAGATTTAAGTTAGAAGTATATTCACTTATAGCAGACATGTCAAACTCGTGATGTTGCATAACATATCAGGACAGTTTTGCTATTGCTGGCAATGTGGGGTGGGTGCGGCTTCTACGTGACGCATCCGGCCCGCGGGCTGGCAGTTTGACATCCCTGACTTACAGTATCAAAGTTATGTTTAATCTCCTTATGGTTTAAGTCTATTTTAGTTTGTATCTGTCATAGCGTTGTGTAAATTTCGTCTTGAAAAGTATTTGTCTTGTCTTGAAGTATTTCTAAAGGCTAAATCTTTCAGGAGTAGATATTAAGTGTGGTTTTCTATCATTTTTTGATGAGTATATCATATCCATGTTGTCTCCCCCTTTTGAGTAGTCCGTCATAAGTGCCATAGTCTCTGTAATTAGTCTTGTCAAGCTAACCAAAACTCAAAATCCATACAGTCCAATTTTGTATAGTTCTTGTTTTTATAAATAATTTTTGTAATCCACTGTAATTTTCAGTTGTCAGGGTTTCAGTAAAATTAATATTTTATAACAATTCTTTCTTTCAGGAATCAATTGTCAATTCAATATATTTAGCCAGTTTAAATCCTTCCTGTAACTTCCCTTCTCAATACTTTATCATAGATCAAAGTTTTTAAATAGTTCATAAATTTAAACCACAATCAAAGTATTTCTTTTCCTTCAAACACTTTCCAATCTTATAGCTGGCCCAGTACACAATCTCTTCTCTGTTCCTTAGCAATTATCTTCTTAAAGGTTATTAGAGTTCATGGGAACAGAATTTTTTTTCTTTGTTTCTGGGCATTGCCTTTAATGTGCTATATTCTCATTGTCCACTAGATGTCAGCAAATATTTATTTTCCAGCTCTTTTAGACAAAAACTTATTATTTTTCTTTTTTTATGTAATTCAATCAAAATCCTTTAGAATATAATCTTAGTAGTTTGTTTTAGTTTCTAAGTTTGATCAGATTGTAGTATTTTGAATTTAATTTCAGAAGGTTCTTTTCTCCTTAAAGGTTAATTCGCCGCTTCCGTCTATGGGGGAATGGGAATGTAGTCCCCTCCCCTCACTTTCGGAGGTTGTTTGCTTTGGGGATCTTTCCCAGGGACCCATTGTAAAATAAAGGAGAGAAGATCAAATACTCTCATCAGTTCCAAGCATGCTGTTTACCGTTGTTCTTGGTAATGCTCTTGGACTTCGGCTGCAGTAGCTTGGGCTAGACGCTGGCATGCGGCTAGTCTTTCTCCTGTCGGGTTCAGAGGGCTTTCCCAGATCAAACGAAGCGATTACCGTCACTTTGTGATCAACGGGGCACCCCTTCTTTGTAGTCACCTCTCCAGGGCGACTTCGGACCCATTTAGGGTCCCCCTTGCAGGGCGAAATTAGCTGTGGGGAGCGTAGGTCCGCTTTCGCCCAGCCATGTGCTACGAGCGCAAACCGGAAGTCCGACAAGATTTTTTTTGTTATTATTATTTGGCCCTGATACTATGAAGAGTTCTTATTTTTAAACTATGCTGGGTCCATTTCAGGATTTGCTGTACATTTTTATAGTTCTTTAAAATCAGGGGTACAGAAAATGTGGTCCAAAATCTGTGGAAAATCTTGCACCAAAAGGCAAGACAAGAAACAGTGGTTGGAAACTCACCAAGGAGAGAAGCAACCTAGAGCTAAGAAGATATTTCCTAACGGTGAGAGCAATAAACCAATGAAATAGCTTATCTTCAGAAGTTGTGGGTGCTCCATCACTGGAGGCTCAAAAAGAGACTGGATGACAATTTGTCTGAAATGGTATAGGGTCTCCTGCTTAAGTAGGGGATTGAACTAGAAAACCTCCAAGATCCCTTCCAACTCCACTATGCTATATTCTGTGTTCTGTATGAGACTCAATATTTCAGATTTCCCAAAATGACTTGAATCAAATTCTAGATCTTGTATTTCCATTGCTGAGAGATTATGAGGTATAGTATAATGGATATCTGAAGTATTTCAGAAGCTTAATGTATCCATAGAAATGGTGATAGTAATAATTTATTATGGTGGACCGAATTCTCAGAGTTATTCATATAATTTCTATTTTGAATAAAACCAAGAACAACATAAAATTATAACTAGATCACTGAGGCAATCAGGTCATGTTTAATTTATAGACAGTGTAACAAATTTTAACTACATTCAAAGAAATAAAATTTACAGGTATGATAAAAGCAACTGTACCAAAAATAATTCAAAATTGTCTGAATACTTTGCGAATTAGGGAATTATGAAGGAAGAACTGGGGTTCTTATGGAGGGAGCTACAGGCCATGAGCAATGGATTCAATGGTTCCTTTCCCACAAGGGGTACTTATAAAGAGTTTTTTTTCTTTAGTATTTGCACTTGAGATCAGCTTTTGGAAGGATATTGAAATAGGTTAGTGTTCTTTTGAGTTTGGGGATCCTTATTTGGTTTAAATATCTTGCTGGTTCAAAAAAGCAGCTGACTACTCAGAAACACTTTCTTAGGGCAAATTGATCTGATTAGGCTTCCAAGCCTTGTTAGTTCCAGGCTTGTTAATCATTTATGATAGGTTCTGTTGAAATCCTCTGAGCAAGAGTGTTATGACTTTCACATCACTGGATTTCTTGGGAAACTAAATGTAATTAAAACAGGCTTATGTATATTTACAGGGCCCTGTATTTTAAAAGGGAACAAAAGAGTTTTGTGAAATTGTTTTAGTTTTATCAATAGAAGAAAATATATGTAGCTTAGGGTTAAATTGTGGAGTCCTTGGTGCTCTCTGAGCTTACTTGTTTGCTTGTAGATGTTTCATTACCTTACTAGGTACCATCGTGGTGTTTGCTGTGGGTTTATATACAGTAGCCTGTCTTGCCAATGTTGGTGAGGGAGTGGTATTCTCCTTGGTACTCTGATCCTGAAAGCCTATGAAGAATTAAGGAAGCTTAATCAAGGGAGTACAAATGAGAAAACTATTCCCCCACTGACAATGGCAAGGCAAGTTGCTGTTTATAAACAGGGAGCAAACACCACACTCAGTAGCACTGATGAGTATGTAATCGGCACACTGTACCTAGTCAGGTAATGAAATATCTGCAAAGAAAGAATCAAGTTCAGAGAACACCAAAGACTTAACTTGATTGTCCCTTGGCAAGAATACAAGTGGCTCTTACCATGAAAACATAAATACCATATAACTTAGCTCAGTGGTGGCGAACCTATGGCACGGGTGCCAGAGGCGGCACTCAGAGCCCCCTCTGTGGGCATGCGCGCCGTCGCCCCAGTCCTAGGCCTTCAGCTGGGTTTTATAAAACTTTTCGCTTTAGGCCTCTGCCGCCATGTGCCAAAAAAAAAAAAAAGGTTCAATCAGTCAATTTCAACCTCTCACGGGAAAAAAAAAGATCTTGCAAAGTTGGAATTGATTGATTGAACTTTTTAGTCCCACCCAGTCTGCCATTACCACAACACCCAATGGGCCACACCTGCCCAGCACTCGACGATGCATAAGTGGGTTTTGGGTTGCAGTTTGGGCACTCAGTCTCTAAAAGGTTCGCCATCACTGACTTAGCTTATTCTTTTTATACACAAAAATGTTTTTTTTTCAGTAATCTCTTTTCAAAATAATTCTGAAATCAAATCTAGCAATATAAAGTCATGCTCCAAAGATGTCCTTAAACTTTTCTCATGTTTCCTCTCAAAGAATAAAGTAAAAATATTTTGTGGAGCTTTGGCCTTGTTTACATATTTTTACATGGAAGCCTGTCTCATTGCATTCAGTAGGACTTAACTTTTGAGAAGATGGGAATAAGCTACCTCCAACACTGTTACACATTTCATTCATTCACTGTCCCATTGGGCTATTTGATCTGAATGATAAACCAGTCCTGCTTAAATAAAATGTATTTTCTGCTCCTGTAACTGTATGATATAGAAGAGCAATACAAAAGAAATGTAATAAATGCTTCTCAGATTATGCTTTCTTTTTCACAATATGGCCTTGAATTGATGCCCCTTCACTTTCCCATTTAAGAAATGTCATTCCTTAAATCTGTAAAGGCTTTGAAACTGTTGAGTTTTACTATTATTGCATAGGGGAAATATGTACCTAAAATAATTGTCTAACAGAAATGTGGCAACGTGACTTTTCTCCTCATGGTAAAGTGGTAATTTCGTGGACTGTGAATGGCTAATGAGTTCAATTATTTCCAAGTTTTCAGCATCTCCACAGGCAGAGGAAAGAAAATTTGGATATGCTGTAACTCTGCTGCCACCCAAAAGTCTTTGACAGATTTTAAATAGTATGCTGCTTGACCAGTCTATCGTTTTTCCTAGATTTTTTTTTCCAGTTTGCTATACTGTAGAGTTTAATGGGATTTTCATGTAATTTGCCATTTATCCTAATCATAAAGCTATCTTGGGTCCAGATTCCACTGTACTTTTGCTTCCAGCTTTCTTTGAAGTCCACCATAAAAACTTCCATCATAACATGCCTTAGTGTAGAATGCAAATGCGTGTCCCCTACAGCATCTTTGCAGAATGAATGTATTAATGTACACAGTGTTTCCTTGCTGCCTCTGAGATACAGAAGATGTAATGGAGTCTGCATTCTTTAAGCAATACAGGGCACTATATTTAAAAAGAACACACTGTTAAGAATTTTATCAAATTCTTTCAGCTTTGATTGTATCTTGGCAAGAATGCAAGTAGCTTTTAACATGAAAAAATGTAAATACCATATACTATATAGCATTGCTTGTTTGTTTTAAAGGCAAAAATGTTTTTCATTTTCATTTCAAGCTAGCAATATAAAGTCATACTTCAAAGATGTCCATAAACTTTTCTCATATGTTTCATCACAAAAAATAAAGTAAAAATATTTTGTAGGTGATTAGCTTGGGCTTGGGCTCATAAGTGTCATTTATGCCGGTAACTTTTTGTGAGGTTTACTCTTTCTAGCACTGTGATTGTTTGGAAACAGGAAAATTGGCCTGTTTCCAATGTGATACCTGTAATGTTCTTTTCTAAAATGAAAACCTCCTGCAAATCGTGTTTAATCTAAAATTATCTTATGATACATTTATTAAATGATTGTAAAGATTCTTAGTTGTTTAATTACTTTACAGGAAAATAAAGCAGTACCTCCTTATGAAAATTTAAGGAAGTACATTGAAAATTGGAGTTATCTCTGGGAACAATAGTCTTAATTTATGTTGACCTTTCTTTCTTTAAAATATTTAGTCTACATTCAATAAAATTCTGATGACCACTCTTTAGAAGACAGCTGTACAATCTGAAATATTATAAATATTCAGCTTTTCATTCCTAGTAATGCCATTAACAACTGGGCATCTAGTTCAGGAAAACAGATTTTACAGAAGAAGCTGGCACGTTCCTGAATCAGTACAGTGAAAAATGCAAGAAAATATTTTCTTATGGTTTGGGGACCTGTAAAGTCATAGAGCATCTGTTCCTTAATTCAGTCATAGTCTAGCAGCACTGAATCATGTTGAGCTGAAATATAAGAATTGCTTTTTTCACCTTGAAAAATAACAAGGTAAGTTACTATGCAATTCTGTATAGCAATGTTCATTATTAGCACTTTGTAGTTAATAAATATTTTGGTAATCTGATACCCTGTTTGTTCCAGTTGTATGCCACATGTGAAAAAACAGCACAAATGTGATCCGTTTTCAAAGCACTATTTACCAACTTGTTCACGTATACCTGTATGAGGTTAGCTCTTATTGTAAGAAAATGTTGTTTGCATGTGGTTAGGGTTAGTTAATGGGGATTACTACTAGCTACCAGTAAAGGATGTTCTTAGATTAAAATTTCCCTTTGAGCAGTAATAACACTCGCTTTCCTTCTTTTGTAGTGCTAAAAGAGCTTTGAAGCTGGATAATTTTATTCCAGAAAAAGTAAGAATATTTTTGTTTTTCTGTCCTGTATTTAAATTATTTTGTAAATTATTTTGCAGAAAATGTGTGTGTGTATAAATGAGCAACATTTCAGGGAAATCATAACTCAGTAATCAATGATAATATATATCTTAATGTATATGAAGTGATTGCTAGAGACCTTTGAAGGCAGTGCTATTTTATATAATATTCTGACTTTGTATGAAACAATTGACTATAACTAAGGAAATATAGTGCTGTTCTTTGTTTTGTATATTCACATCTCTCTCCAGCGGCCAAATATTTTTTTATGACATTGTTTATTAGAAATTGGCTTTATAATTGCTGAAGCAAATGCGCTGCTATCTGAATGTACATATAACAATATGTAATTATGATAATACTATAATCTGCATATTATAAACTGCAAAATTGAAAGCAAAACAATAAAGACATTTTTATGGTGAGAATGTAATTAGCTGAGAGAAGTAGATTAACATAAAACAATATACTGTAACCTTGTGATAAATTACCCATACAGTTATCACAATAAAAATGAAATTATATTTTTTTCTGGGTTTCTTTCTTGTTCTCCCTCCTTGGTAAAATGTGGCACTGTGGGTTTCTAAACCCACTGTGCCAAGACATATACCAGTTTATTTTCTTCCAATAACAATTGTGGGTGTTTCTGTGAAGCTAAGCCAGGTAGCTTGTGGAAGAGAAGAAATAATAGGAAAATATATCAAAATGTGAATAAAATGAATCTCCAGTTTTACCTGCACTTGCCATTTTTTTTTATTTTGCAGAAGATTTGCTATAGCCTTAGCTAAACTCAAAATCTGACTGTATTAAGATATGTATACTTTCTCTTTGTTTGGATTGAAACAAAAGTGACAAAATAGCAATAACAATCATTAGCAATGTAATTTGCAATTTCATTTTCTGTTATTCATTATTTGCAGTACATACAGCTGTGACTGTAATTTTGCATCTGCTTTCTAGGTCCGAAGGGTGTTTTTGGAAACAAGCGATTCAGCTTGGAATTATTTTATTCCACCCTAAAGCTGCTTTTTCTTCTGAAATGGAAATTTAAAAAGGGGGAAATGTTTATTTTAAGAATAATTATTTGGCATGTTTGCTCAGTCAGATCTCTTGCTGCAGGTTTATAATTTCATTAATTTTTCAAAAATCAGAGGTGAAATTAATCATGAAAATTGGGAGAACTACCTTTTTGCTCAGAGTAAAAACTGTATTGCTAAATGTTGCAAGAAAGTGTTCAAATTTCAAGATTGCTATAATATATCTCATCCAGAAGTAACTTCTGTGGGCTGTTTTGAGAATATATGTAGGTGAGAGAAACTTTAATTTATAATCCTAAGAATTAAATTCTGAATGTTCTTTATTTCTTATCTCATTCTACTTTTCCTCTTTCCCCTCTCACTTTCCCCTAAATTTTGAGTAATAAAACGGGAGTTAGAAATGTCTATTTATATGACATTTATTAAATATTGGGTTAATAATCATAATAAAAACTTGCGGCTATCAGGCATTAGACAGCAAAATCCAACTGACCAATCCTTAATGGCTTACACGTAATAGATAGAATCTTGCCAGATTAAAGTTATAGCCTTCTAACCTAATAGATATACCCCTGAGAGCTTATAGGGTGTTGCTTCCTTGAATTTCCTCCTTCTCCTCCCATTCAGTTCAGGACTGTTCAGTCTTATTTTGGGCTTCTCTTGGGAGTGTACCATCTCCTTCATGGTAAACCATGGTGATTTTGCCAAAATCTCCCCCCCCCCACACACACACTACTTCAGGTGTACATACTATTATAGCAGCAAAGAGATTTTCAATTATAAATGAGCGATAAACATTATCAATGTTTTATACACACATACTTTAATTTTTAGCAATATGGAGATGTGGAAAGGAATATGGAATTTTATATTAAATAGTCTCATGTTTAGTTATAATGTGATTATGAAGGAAGAAAAAGCAATAGTTCATTATATTCATATTCTGACTTCCATCTTTGTAATGCATCTGTTGAGGTTGAAGATTCCCTTTCTCCTGAATCATCTATATCTATAAGCAGCATCTGAGTGATTGGTGATTCCTTCCTCATGATTTCATTTCATGATTAGTAGCATCTTCCAATTCTGAGGTGATAGTGGGTATGTAGTAGATTGATTGGAGAAGGCTAGGCTATTGTCAGCCTTTTTTTAAAGTTGAAATAACATCTGGAGTAAAATGTGAAAGGTAAGGTAGTAGCTTCCCTCTAAATAGGGCGGTGACAGGATGATTATCTAACAGGTTAGTTTGTATAGCACAGTCTAAATCAGAGTCAATATCAGACAAGAGAAAATCTTGCCTTTGAGGATTATGCTGCTTAACTCTTGGGTCCTGCTAATGTAGGCTGAAGCCTACAGAAGTAATCCTATCTTCTTGGAATTGCATTGAATAGGTATTTCAAGGTGGTCCATGATGAAGAAAAAGTTAAGAACTACTGCTCTAAGTTGTTATTCAGCTGAGGGATAAGCTATATCAATGGGAGTTCTTGTTAAATCTGGAGTCTGTTCTTGTTCTTAAATCCGGAGTCTGTTCTAAAGATTTATTAACTGAGCATAAAATGGATCATTGATGTGGGGGAGAGAAGGATGGTTACATTCTCTTTGCACTGCAATGACTATTTTAAATAATAAATAAGTGTATAGGCATTCAAAGGGAGAATATGATGGTGCTTTTTACTGCAGACAAAATGTTCTTTGTTGTTTTTTTATTGGTCTAGGTGCCAGTAAAAAGAAAGAAAAATGACCTTTTTTCACCAATAACAGGAACATGTCTACTCAGTGCATTTTCAAGCCCCAGGAGCAATCATGTCAAAGAACAGAGAAATGACCTATCAGATGGTTAGTTGAACACTCTCTTCTACTTACTATGGAACTTTTCTGGTTATTGATCAAGTCAGATTCTTGATTTAGTAATTTATGTCTATAGTTACATAATAACTATCATTTCTTTTTAATTCTCTTTAATTTTCTCTCACACACACCCCTCGATGAAGTTGGATTATGAGGATAATATTGAAATCTCACTAATTTACTCAAGTCAATTTGCAAATATTAAGTTGTTAAAAATAATAAAACTGGAACAAAAAAAAAATGCAGTGGCAAAATTGTGGCCCCTCAAAAATCCTACATGGATCAAGAGTTAAGCCAATTTTGAAGAAGCCTTTGTTTTGTTGGTCAAATACAGAAAGAAAATATCATTTGGAAATTTATGGCTTAATAAGGTGACTCTGTGCCCTTTGTACATCATATTGTAAGTTAGAGCTACTTTGTAAAAAAAAAACAATTATACAAATTGAAGAATTTATCATATTCACTCAGTAATTCCTGTCTTAGTTGAATATTAATAATAGATTTATCTATATTCATAATCAATAGTGTGATCTATAACTTCAAAACTCCAAATATTGGATTTCCTGAATCAATCTTTTATCGACAGTATACAAAGTGTTTGCTTTTACCAACTCTGTGATTTCTAGTTTGTGTAGCACATGTATATGTGACATAGAGATTGACTGATTTTTTCATATGCCTGTACTCTTGAGTGAGGAAAAAAGGAGAAATGCCTGAAGTAAAATCCCTGAACATTAAGTGTCAAAGGCAAAGGTGAGTGTGTGCTATATTTCCATGCTGTAATTAAGTATGGGCATAAGGGAGCAGTCCTTTTGCACATAAAAGAAGGAATCACATGTTCTCAGCTGACATTTAGATGGATAATTATACAGCAAAGCCTCAATAGCTTTCCTTTTTTTTTTTCAGATTATTCAAGCTGCAAAAATAATGCTGAGGAATCAGATAGTAAGCTGTTTCTTTATTCTACTCTTAATTCTAAATTAAATTTCTTACAAATAGTGTGCACATAAATAAGTTATGTGTGTATTATGATAAAGATGTCATAATTCATAGTTGGAAACTGAAGCACATATTTTAAAAATCCTAAATTATATTTTCTTCAGTGTCTCTATATCATCTCTGTTTTGACATGGTACTTGGCCTTAAGCCTGATTTAAGGCAAGGTTTTAAATAAAAATCCCTTATTGTTCCACATACCTTCTTAATGCATGTTACACTACAGGTAGTTTTCATATAACAACTGCAGTTGGGAGCTACAGCTCCATGGTTAAGTGAAGTGGCTGATAAGTGAAACTTCACATGACTGCCCCAGACTTAGTCCATCAGTTCTGCTGTGGTTGTGAAATTAATCGACTGCGGTTGTTAAGCACAGTATCACATGTCCACAATTTGTCACTTATTGCCAGATTCTCCATGGACTGCTTGTTGGAGGCTGGCTCTGAAGCTTGCAAATGGTGATTCTGTGATGCAGGATTGTAAATGTGTGCCACCCAAATTGTCACATGACCACGGGAATGCCATGATACTTGTAAGTTTGAGGACCAGTTATAAAACTACTTTTTCAGTGCCATAATAAATTTGAATGGTTGCTAAACAGGGCAGCCATTAACCAAGGACTACCTGTATTTTCTGTTTCTGATCCCACACCAACTCTAAAATCAGATTCCCCCTAATATCCCTGTAACTCTCATCCTGATGGCATTCCAGAAGGCCTTAAATCAGGGGTAGTCAACCTTGGCTCTTTTATGACTCGTGGACTTCAACTCCCAGAATTCCTGAGCCAGCTTAGCTGGCTCGGGAATTCTGGGAGTTGAAGTCCACGAGTCATAAAAGAGCCAAGGTTGACTACCCCTGCCTTAAATAATTGGCTGTTCTCCCAGGCCTTGTGCTAGGGTGGTCAGGATTTGTTTGAGAGGGTTTGTCGTTTGGTTCTTAGTATTTATTACTTTCTTATTTGTTTTTGTAACTATTACATTGTGTTTTCTATTCTATTTTGTTTTATTATGCCTCTCCCAAAGTGTGTTTGGAATTGGATGGTGCCTAAATTAAAACAAAATAAAATAAACTAATATATGATCCCATAGCTAGTATTCTGTCCATATTAGCATGACATAATAACAGGCTATTTTACTAATTGAATTATATTTTTAAGCATTAATGTTTTAAAAATTGATTTTAATCCCTACAAATCCCTTTAATGGCTATACATAAATGCAGAAATCTGTGAGTGCCAAATTCAGTGACCAAACAGAAAGGTAATTAATATACTTTAATGAGAGAAAGCTTCATTTCTGTATCAATTATGGGGAAGGACCAGGTTTCTCAGACTAATAATAGTTATTCAGGAACCAGGAGGACACATTTTGCAAACGTTCCAGAGTATTTTTCGAGGATGTTCAGGGCATTCAGATTAGGTCCCAGTATAAAAGCCATTGTTATTCATGAATCAAAGATAAGGTCCATCTGATCGTGTTTGGAACCCAATTTAAATTTGGGAATGTTGTAATCTGCAGAAAGGTTGCGTGTAGAGATCCTGCAGCCTTTCTCTGCTTCAGCTCTGCAGTTAAGATGTATTCCTGAAGGAATAAAATAACAACGTTATACATTTAAAATTTTAAGTCATGACTTTGACATGCATACAATCAGCAGATCCAGGGTAGTGCAGGAAAACACTTTTAATGATATTCACATGCTACTTCACTCATCAGCCACCTTTTTTGCTCTCAGATAGCCTTTAACTCTCCCTTAGCTGAAATCATTCGATATCACAAGACTTGGGAGCAAGCCGTGCTCTGGTTCGCCACCTCCTACTCATGCTCTGTGCTAAGCACTAATTTTGTTGCCTCTTCTTTTAAGCCCAGTCCATCCTGTTTCCCAGAGGGAGGCGACATAGACCACACAGTGGTTATCTCTTTGCCTTATTCCTTAAGGGCAGGAGAGGGAAGATAATTGAGCCAGCAGGCTCCAGAACAGAGAGTCATATGAGCCCAGTCATGTTGTCTGTATTGTCCCTTCCTGTTAATTTGAACACGATGCAGATTGTGACATTTTAGTTTTCTAAATATAACTGTTGCGATTCTTTTGGATGAATAGTCATTGAGCTGAATTCACGTGTGAATGAAGGCTTGTTGCTTATTTTTGGCTTGATCTGCCCATCCTGTGTTAGGATAATGGGCATATACTTCTTATTCAATTTGCCATGGAGACAGACTGTAAGGATAATATTTGGCCAGAATCTCAACAGCAGCTATTTAGCTGCTTGGGTTTTTATCCCAGTCCTCTCCGTGACATTCTGTCTTGGCAGCTTCTGTAACTAAAAAAGATAAAGCCGTAATCCTAAAGCCCTAACCATTATTAAAAGAGTGCAAATAAAATAAAGGGAATTGATAACCCATAGCAACAGCAATCCTATTACATAAACAAAATCCAGACCCCCCCCCCAATATTTTGATTTTCCTCCTGAATTTAATAGGAGGGGACAATTCTTACATTGGTTGAAGACTTCTTGATACTCTGGGACAGCCACAAAAGACAAATGTCCTGTCTATTTAGCATGCTTATTACTCCAAAGTGTAAGTTTCCATTCGAAACAGAGAGGCCTGAAGGTAACTAGAACTCAAACGATGAAATACTTGATAAGTGATAACCAGAATGTGCCTGGAAACATATACATGACCAGTTCATGACCAAAGACAGTGTTAGCTGACTTGGCCTTTGTCTGTCTGCACCCTGGTTGCCACATTTGACAAGATGAATTGAAACCTCCGAATACTCCTTAAAAGCAACCATGTGCAGAGTGCATGACAGTAACCCAAGCATAAGGTAATGAGGGCATGACTATTGCCATAGCATTGGCTCCAAAAGCAGACTGATCCCCTCGTCAAAGCTGAACATAAGCATGCAGAACCCTTTCAAACTGCACATGTTTGTTTCCAAGTCCCCTTAAGGATTGATTTTAAACTATGTAACCAGAGAGTAAAACAGTAAGGAGAGGGAAGTATCTATGGCAGTGATGGCGAACATTTTAGAGACTGAGTGCCCAAATTGCAACCCAAAACCCACTTATGCATCGTCAAGTGCCGAGTGGATGTGGCCCACTGGGTAGGCATGGTCCATTGGGTGGGCATGGCTGTGGTGGTAGCGGCAGACTGGGTGGGACTAAAAAGTTCAATCAATCAATTCCAACTTTGCAAGATCTTTTTTTTCCATGAGAAGTTAAAATTGATTGATTGATTGAACCTTTTTTTTTGTTTTGCACACAGCGGCGGAGGCCTAAAGCGAAAAAGTTTTATAAAACCCAGCTGAAGACCTAGGACTGGGGCGACAGCACGCGTGCCCACAGAGAGGGCTCTGAGTGCCGCCTCTGGCACACATGCCATAGGTTCGCCACCACTCATCTATGGCTTGGAACCCCTCCATGCTCTTTGTAACTTTCTTGGTTAAAGGATGGATTTGGGGTTTTGAGGAAAGAAAATTTCTCCCCTGTGTCCCTGATACAAAAAGTTCTAGTTCTCTAGAATGTTAGAATTCCTTTTTCAGATCCTTTGAGCTTTCTCTGGCTAGAGAGGAAAATATACCCCTAACTTAAAAGCCACTGTCTGGGAATTAAACCTCTGTTCTGTAGAAAATGTTTACCTAGCTATTGCAATGAGAATGACTGCTAAAAAGTGTTAATGTTTGTTAAGGGACTGACTTTCATAGGGTTTTCCTCACGTTGGGGTGATATTGCACATATTATATGGTGCGGTGACATTGAATTAAAATCGAAGTCTGTGTACTGTTTCCTTTCAGTGGTTTCAGAATTATGAGATAATCTTTGTGTATTCTCCGTTGAATACTTTTTCAAACCATGTCAAATTGAGTGTCTTGTTATTTTTACTTCTTTAATTCTCTTTCTAGAAATCAGAGAGTCTTCCAAAGTCCTGCCAATCCAATCGAATAGAAAGGAGCAGCATGACATGAAAAACAATGACAAGTAAGGTTTTCTATTGGAGTAATTATCCTGAAGTTCCAGCTGCAGGTGATTTGGGAGTATTTGAAGCATTAGCGCTTCTAGTCAGTCCTAGAAGAGATCAACCCCGACTGCTCTTTAGAAGGCCAGATCCTGAAGTTGAAACTCAAGTACTTTGGCCACCTAATGAGAAGGAAGGACTCACTGGAGAAGGGCCTAATGCTGGGAAAGATTGAGGGCAATAGAAGAAGGGGACGACAGAGAATGAGATGGCTGGATGGAGTCACTGAAGCAGTAGGTGTGAGCTTAAATGGACTCCAGAAGATGGTAGAGGATGGGAAGACCTGGAGGAACGTTGTCCATGGGGTCGTGGTGGGTCGGACACGACTTCGCAATTAACAACAACAACAACAGCGCTTCTAGATGCCGTATATACAAATACTTTTTTGCACTAGTAGTTCTTGTGCATTTCCATGTTTTAATGTCCTGAATGACACATTCATCCAAGGGATTGGCAAGGGAGAATAAGACCCTCACTTTATCATGCGCGTCATATTTTTTCTTTGTATTTTATGTTATGTCATTGAAAGTTGTGAACTGTGTTAAATCATTTATTAGCTAATGATGGTGATTGTAACTCGAATTTCCATCACAAAGTAATGTCATAAAGCACAATGTCCATCACATTATTTAGTGACAGAAATTTCAGCATTCCCCATTGGTATTGTTAATTGAATTCCCTTGGTGGGGATCCACTCCAATCCAAGCCATTCCTGACTTGGTTCCTCCCAGCCCTGAGCCTCAGTAAAATAAGGGACTTTCTCCTCTTGAATTCCCCCCATCTGCCTAGTCTTTTGGCCGCCCTGCGTAGTGTCACACTTCAGCAGCAGTGGCAGTTCTGGGACTGAAGTAAAAGTCCAATGCCTTCAGCAGATTCAGCTGGCTGTGACTGCCTTGGGCCTCTACTTCAGCCCCAGCACTGCCAGCACCAGGGCGGAGTGCTGCCTCAAGCTCCATGCTGCAGCCAGCCACCCAGCACCACAGCACAAAGCCACCAAGTTGCCCCCACCACAGCACAAAGCACCACAGTTGCCCCCACCACCAAGTATCTACTATACCTTGTGCTTCACCAGCTTTACTGCATCTAGGTGACCTTTGCTGTCTTCTCTCTCCCGCTGCTGCTGAAGCATCTCTGGCCTGGCCCTATGCAAGGCAGCCACCGGCCGCCCCCAGCCGCTTCCTTTTTTCCAATAATTGTATGTGCTGTTCTCCAAATTGCATCTGCCCTTCTCACGATTCTTTGAAAGGCCTCAACTTCAGCCCCTGTGCATCTGGCATTACGACCACCGCTGAAGCAGCACTCTGGCAGAAGTGGGGACACCGGAAGCGCCCCTGAAGTCATTAGTCTTGTTAGTGTGAGTGAACCACCATGCCTGAATTTTGAGCATGTGACCTCAACGATACTGCAACAGCCATAACTTTGGAGACCAAGCATAAATACTCTTCAAATGGTTTTTGAATAGTTTCAACAATTATACAGGATTACCTGTACTGCCTAATCCTGCAAGAAATTGTTATTCCTTCCAATGTTGTTGAACTGGATTTGGCAGCAATGCCATGCGATATGGTTGTTGATGAGAGAGGTTAAGAGTTACAGTTTAGCAACATCTGTGGAATCCTCATCTTTATCCTATAATATCTATTTGATTGTTTCAGCTGTTCAGAGCAAGCAATTGCTACTTGAGCTTTTACTTAATATATTGCTGCAGTGTAGTCCTTCTGTCAAGTATTGACCTTCTAACGGCCTTCAGAATAGTGCTGTGGTTCCCATTGTTCTTTTTCTTTGTTATTACATCCACTGTTTACTTTCTCCTTGATCTTGAGCAACCATGAATTTGGAATGGGGCTTGGTTGGAATTCTTATGTACAGCACTAACACTGGGATATCTGGGTAAGATATACAGTAGATACTAAATTAGTATACTGAAGCCTGTTTGCAATCTTAATGCAACCAGGAAGAAACCTGATGAACTAAAAATATTTTTCAGATACATACCATAATGTAAATAATTGCAACTTTATATGGCTATTGTTTTAACCTTAATTGGAGTAGGGAGGGGCTGTTTGCTAAAAACACAATCTTACATGGAAGGTCTAGTTTTTCTTGTTTGTATTTTGCTTATTCTCGTTTCATACCATTAATGTTGTATTTGTCTTTTTGCTTAGACTCTTGGTATTGCAGTCTGAAGTTGAACATTCCCTGGAAAGATTCCTGCAAATTCGAAAAAAACTAACCAATCTGAAGGTCTGCCATTATTCTTTTCCACTTTATCAAATTAATTCAGTCCTCTTGATCTTTTTTCTTTATTACAGTTTAGTCTTTATGTTCTTACTTTTCACATTGTGAGTTGAGTTCAGTAGAAATACTAAATATTCCATAGATGCATATGTGTGCTCGTGCCATCCCTTCAAGGTAGACCAGACTAGGGAACCAAAGTCATGCATGCTAATGCTAAATTCCTTATAAGTTTATAGTACAAGAATTTTGTAAGTCTGAGTGCATTCCCCACTCTCTCCCTTTGTCTTTGTGAGAACTAGGGAAGGTCTTATCTGAGATGTTTGCTAAGGCTACAGTTTTGCTCTGGATTTAAATTTCTTTTCTGACTATAATCTTGATTATGGATCTTCCTCCTCTTACTTAAGGTTTTTCTTTTTGCCCACTACTCTTTCTAGAGCAGTGGTGGCGAACCTATGGCACGCATGCCAGAGGTGGCACTTGGAGCCCTCTCTGTGGACACACATGCTGTTGCCTCAGCCTCCCCTGCGACCCCCTCCTCACCAGCAGCCCCCCTGGAGGAGAGTCGCCTCCGAGCATGGCCCACACGAAGCAGCGCAGCCAAGGACATGGCAGCCAGGCAGCGTAGACAAGACTCTGCTCTCATGCCCCATCGTGCACAGTTGATGCTGCAGGGGGCGGGCAGAGGGCGTGGCCGCCGTGGTGCTGCTGGGCTGCCTGGGTGATCTGCGGTGGGCCCTGGAGGTGGTGAGTGGCCCTGCGGGCAGGCGGGGCGGGAGATGGGGTGGGGCAGAGCAGGGGGTAGAATGGGGTGGGGCCAGTTTTTGGGCACTCGGTCTCTAAAAGTTTCGCCATCACTGTTCTAGAGGATCTCTACATTCTGACAAATTCTTTGCTAACAAGTTGTCCCTTTCTGCATTCACCTGCTTCTTCCACTGTCTGAGAGGTGAATGTGTGTAAGAGGGTTTTGGGGTGGCTTTGCTCATACTTTTAATTTTGTTTAAAGTTAGTAATCATCAAAAAATATGGGGGTCACTGTAAGTGAATGTGCTAAAATGTAACAGTGAAATAATTCAATTAATTATAGGTAATAATAGTAAAACATTTTAAAAATGTATAAGTTACCCTATTCTTTTGCAGTGCAATCTCTGATATCCTTTTTAAAAGTCTGATGCTTCCCTTAGTCCCCCCAAAAGTTCGAATTTTGATATAGTGGCTGAATATGAATTTGGATTGGGAGACATCTGAATTGAAATCACCGTTCAACCATCTCTGCATTTTCATTGGGCTATGTTGGTGCATGATATTGAGACAGAGTTATGGGGACTCCTTCATTTTATCTGATTTGCTCTAGGAGAGATGTTAAAAATAATCCAAAGGTTACCCCAACAGGCAAAAACTTCAAATCATATCGAAAATGGAATTCCTGGTTTTTCAGTTTTCTAACCTATCAAATATAGCCAGGAAATTAACTTTCAGCTTCATTGGGCTGATCATATTGGACCTATTTCTAATATCACATACTAGTAACATGGTGTGCTTGTATAGTCATGATGAATTGAAAAGAGTGGAAGATTTAAGGAATGTTGTTTTTAGGTTAAAAACCTAAGCACTGATATTAACTTTTTCCAAAAAAACCCTCTTTTTCAGGCTTTAGAGGGCACCAGAGAGCTGGAAAATATTCTGGGCACTTCAGACAAGTCTGGTAACTTAAAAATTGAAATGAGAAAATCCAGGAAACTGAGTAAGAAGAACTGTATCTCATTCCAGTTTTTTTGATAGAATTTAAAGTTTACATTTTGTAGGAGGGCTTGTAGTTATTATGGAACTATAATTGTAATATGTACTATTTTCCCTTCGTTGGTTTATTTTTTATAACTTTGGAAGGCTCTAAAGAAACTTTATATGGAACAAAACAATTACAAAAGATAAGTGACAGTAATGGTTATTTAAGGCAACACAGCTCAATCCTGTATTTATCTAGTTAAATATAGTATTAAATTTAGTGAGACTCACTCTCATGTAAATAATTTAAGTACCCTTAAATTAAAGTGTCCTGTTGAGGAAGTTAAAAATTAGCCTAATGTTTAATTCTTCACAGATGAAACAAACCAGGTTTGGCATCCTAACTGTATTTCTCAACTTACTAACCCATTCATATATAAGACTGAGGGTCAAGGTTCATTGTCTGAACTTGTGGGTTGGTTTCTGAATGTTTTATTACCTGGCTAGATAATATATTCAGTAGAGTTTAGGGCATGACAGTGTCAGTCTACTTCTGTTTATAAGGGCTTCAGGTGTGGGTGTGTCAAGTGAAGGTCATTTGATTGAAGCCCTTATAAACAGAAGAACACTGACACTGACATCCCCTAAACTCCACTGAAGATGTCCATATGTTAAATTAAGATATATTATTGCCATTTATATAAAATTTACTAAGATTCTATTTGCTGCTTTTCTTTTTGGGGATAATATAGAAGTGTTATAAGATCTAAGTGTGATTTCCCTTCTCTTTTCCTTAAATAAGATAAGAAAACTGAAAAAAACTACAAACTGTGATAAAATATAATTTGAGTAAAAGTTGCAATAGTGAAAATAACAAAACATATAGACTGGATTATTATAGTCTATTAAGCATAAACTCTCTGAGACCTTGATTAGTATTTAAAATTTGATTTTTATGCCTATAGCTGGTCTTGCAAATAAAATGGCTTGGTTTCCTGTCTGCCTGGAACCCTCTGTTATCATTCTGTGAGAAATATCATTCTATGTAGAAATCTGCATCTAATTCAACATTTTTAATGATTCCATTAGATGTTATATAACCACCATTTTATACATCAGAATCACACAAGTAGTGTTCTTGTGATATCTAAATATTGTTTCTTCTTCAGTTGAACAAGTCAGAAAGAGAAATCTGCAAAAACTGGGTGCTGTTGGATTTGCTACTCAAGGTGAAGTTTTTATTCCTTAATATTGTATAACATTTTCTTTGCTGGCTAACTTAATAGGGAACACCATTTCTTGAACACTGTTTCACAAGGCACCATTCCACCTTGCAGTATAATATAACTTTCTTCTCTTCCCCAAGCACTTAAACAGATATATTAAAACACATTGTCACATTTTAGGATTTAAGGGCAGCTTTAAGAACTGTGGCATTCAACTCCCAGAATTCCCCTGGCAGCCATGCCTGTATAGGTCTTAATGTTGCCAAGGTTGGACACTCCTAGTGTAATCAAAGTGATATAGTCTAAGGAGCTATGTTTGGTATTAGTTATTTTGCAGTTTATCAAATGCTAAGAGGCTACATATCTTGGACAGATGTTTCATTTTTTAAACTTCAAATGTGATGTTGAATATGGTTATTTACAAACCTTCCCCCTCTGGCTAATGAGGTGAAGGAAAATCTACAGCTCCTTGTGATGTTGACGTCCTTTCTTAGGGATTGAGAACCACAGAAGCAGAAGCAGCAAACCCAGTTTTCTCCAAGCAGGTGCCTGGGCACCCCAGGAGAAAGAAACATACTGCTGGTGAATTGCAAAAGCCTCATTCCCGTTTTTTCACTTTATTAACAAGCTTCCCCAATTGGCACTCTCTCCATCAACTCCCACCAATAAGTGGTATGGAGTGGTGAAGGTAAAGTCCAATACAGCTGAAGAGACCACAGGAAGGAAATTGTATTTATTTTTGTAACAGGGATGATTGGCTGGTGCAAAAGCAACTGCTGTAGGGTATCACAGATTGAACCAATTGGTGGAATATTTATTTTATATCTGCAAATGCATTGGAAGCCTTGAGTGGGAACTCTTTAGAACGTGGTTGTCCAATCTTTTGGTTTGCCTGCACTGCATAGAGTGAAGAAGACAAATGGTCTTGGGCGCACATAAAATATAGTTAATGTATATAAATAACGAAGTTCCTTTATTTTTTAAATATTTTTTACGATTTTGTGGGGCCCATTACAAGCTGTCTAGATCCGCATGAGGCTCATGGGTCATGGGTTGGATACACCTGCTTTAGAGGATCCAGAAATCAGGGACAATTTTGATTTGTATTGTAACTTTGCTTTCACATAATAAAATGACAGAATTTATTGCATAACATTGGTTTTTGCAAACTTTTATTGTGGTTTTTAAATAAGCTGTATGAAATCCAATTTCCATGAAGTCTGATAATTCTCTTACATCTTTGGAAAATTTAGTCCTACAGGATGGGCATTGATAGAATTGATATTTATTATTTACCAAGTCTTCATTAGATCTGCAATTTGACAATTAATAGCGGCTCTTGACTATTTATTTTATTTATTTCTTTGATTTTCTAAAATGAATTTGCAACAAGTTTTTTTTGTAAAGGATACCAGTGAAGTACAATTATATTCTTCCTCGCAGAGCTCTTGCATTGTCCAAAATATTTTTTTATAGAAGACTGAGCCCTTGTAAAATAATGGAACTAAAGGAAAGAGGTCTGGAGAGGGAGGAGAAAGTTAGGAACATTTTGCATAGGTGCTTATAGCCCACCACTATTTTGAAACTGTTTTGTACTTTCTGGATGCCCTTATGCAAATGTGCAGCTTACTTAGAAGTCTTTCTTATGAAATTATTTTCCTACCCAAAACTTTTTCTTTGCAATGTTGAATCCATGCAGATAGAAGAACCATAGAGTATGTACACCTTTGGGTAGTTGCTTGCTTTTTTTTAAAAAAAATATGCGATCTTTATTTTAGGACTTATACAACCTGTTTGTGTTTCCCATTTTGAAAGAGTGGACAGTATGATAAAATGCAAGACAATGTGATTCTGTGGTCATGGTCAGGAAGATTTGAGAGGACGGGGGGTCCAGCATGGCCGGTTGGGGAATTCTGGGGTCCACAAGTCTTAAAGTTGCCAAGGTTGGACTCCCCTGCTCTAGAGGCTGCATGTGATCTTAGAGCACTTCAGTTGCTATCCTTTATGGTAAGGTAATGGTGCAACTTTCCTGCAGAAGCAATGATATGGCCATTTTTCATGAGGAGGACTTTGCACAAACCCCATTCTCTCTATTAGTTCATACTGCTGGAATCCTTAGCCTTTAATACAGATTGAGCCCCACTTAGTACTTAACTAAGGAAACACAGGCTATTCCCCCCCCCCCAGGCATCTTTAATTCACTGATCTTAATAAATGCTACCTTTTTTTTTGCAGTGCTCTTTGGGGAGCTTACAACAAATAGGAGCCAGAACATACAATGTTTTTAGTGTTCTTGACACCATGAAAGCAACATATTTAAGGGGAGTACAGTCTGGATGCCTGGGTTTACACACACACACACACACACACACACTTCTGTATCTTTTCTGTCTTACCCACATCACAATTTCTTACCTTCAAATCTTTTCATGTACAGTACAACCTTGGTGCCACCCAAGGCTTTAATAATGATAATATTTCTCTAATGTCTATTACTGAGGGACTTGAGAGCACTCAACATTTATGAATACAGCCTTGCCACATTGCAGAGACAAATGAACTCTATTTTACAAAGTCCAATCTCAGCCAGGCACTTAAAAAGATGAGATGCTTAACTGCTTAGCTGACCCACCTGAAGGTTTAAGCATATCTTATTTAAAAATACGCACCTTATAGTTCTGTTTCATGTTATGCACTTCAGTGGCTTAAAATCAGGAGGTTATGAGCTGGTGAGATAAATGATCTGTTTCTATGGTCCTAAGGAGTAATTCTGATCAGATTTCAACAGAGATTCTTCTTAAAGTTATCTAAGTTTGAGAGATGGAGGAAAAAGGAAATCCACCTTGAAAACATAAATATATCATGTGTTACACTGATTCATAGAAAGATTATTTAGACCAAATCTAATTCCTTGTTAGTGCCGAATCAAAATTAAAGCACCCGTCAGATGACTATAAGGTTATTTGTTCCATTATCTAACCAACTGATTTTGCTCTTAAGAAGATTTTCTAAATATTCAATTAGGATATGACTTCTTTCATATTAAAACCATAATTCCATATCCTATACATTGAAACACTCTTTTGTCTTTTGCTGTATGTCATCTTTTTATATATGGAAAATTTATTTATTTGATTTATCCTGCCTTCATTTTTTGGGGGGGGGGTCAGTTCAAGGCAATGCTCATACTTAATGCATCCACCTCCCATTTCCCCCACAAATACAACCCTGTCACATTGGTTGGGCTGAAAAAGGGACTGGCTGGTTTTCATATCTAGATGAGATTGAGAAGTAGCATCTTAGCCACCACAACAAACTGGCTCTCTGTCATGAAAGGCAGCACCCAAGGACACTATACTCTCATCCTGATCCCTCCCATGGTCATCTAGGAATGTGGCCAATGCCATCTCAGTTCCATAGTGAAACTCAACTGGAAGGGGATTGCATGATCCGCTTTGTCCAGGCTCCCCTGAAACTTGCCTTAAAAAGACAAGGCAAAAAAACTTTTCTATTTCCTCAAATCTAATGGGGTCATGTTTGCTGTGGCATATGTGTGTGTTTGCTTTTTTGCTATACTGATCATGTTTACAGGAAGACTTGATCCCAAGCTCGATCACTTCTTAGTCGATCACTTAGAAAGAATTTTTTCACCATATACAGTATAGCTGTCCATGTAGCATTGTTTCCAAAATATTTGGAGATGCACTTACATAAGCTATGAGCCTAATTTTATTCTCGGTGATGTATTCACTACCTAGATACATGCGGGTAATGGATATGAATTAGGAGCAAAACCTCCGACTTATGCAAGGACAGGAATGTGTGTTTTCTTTCACAGAGTTTGGTTAAAGGCTAGGAAGATAAGTAGTTTGTCTATCCTCACAGAGTGAACTGAGAAAACAGCTAGTTCCCAATCTTGTGTCTTAAAACTCAAGGCAATACTTCCTTTTTCCTGAGCGTGAAGTCATTTCGCATTTCTATTGATATCTGAAATCTCCGTAGCTCAGCAGTGTGTTCTTGGTGCCAGACAGGCAGCCACACATCTTGATCAAATAGATTAGTTTTCCCTTGTGGTTATGATTTAGTTTTTAAAAGAAACAGAAAAAAGGACATTTCAGCAATGAAGACTTAGCTTGCTGGGTGTCAGATGTGTTGAGTGGAGTTTTCTCATTCTTTATTGTTAACATGTACTGAACGTATAGCAGTCTTGCCTCGTTTCCCCCCCCCCCCATGTCTTACTACATTCTTTTATACATGCTTTGTGTCTGTATATAGAAATCTTTAGGATGGACTTTTCAGTTCTTAATCAGAACATTATATTTAGTAAATGGTGTTGCTGTTTAAAAATTACTTTAAAGATAGGACTACCACAGTAGCAATTTACACCTTAACTTAGAATGAAATGTAGTTTATCAGAGAGTCCAGCTATGTAAATCAGAATGAGCATGGCCCAAAGATTGAACACAGCCTCTGGTTGATATATGTGGCTTGTTGAAAATCTCATAACTCTTTGTGATTCCAGGCAAGCCATAATGCATGGCTGGTTGGGGAATTCTGGGAGTTCTTCTTCATGCTGCCAAGGCTGAAAAATACTGCACTAATCAATTGATTGCAAAACCTGGAGCCCCATTGGTGAAAGTCAATAATGGTTTGGCTTGGATTTTCTTTCTCTGCTTTTGCTACTAGTCTTTTTTTTTAAAAAAAAAATCTGCTTTTTGCTATATCTCTGCCACTAGTTGATTTGCTGGGAGCAATGGGAACCATGAGGGCTCCCATTTATTCATAGCAGACAAGATTAAAAATCCTTTCTCTTTGCTAGCTTTTGTGTAAGGGTGTTCGTCTTCTGCAGTGTGCAAAAGCAGTTCCTAAGGTCTGACCAGGAAGCCCCTGGAGCCTTCAGGGCCCCAAAGTTGCTCATCTGTAGAAGATGACCAAGCTGAGTCAGAGGGCAGGGTCAAACACGTCATGAGTTTGAGTTTTGCTATGCTCCCACAAGAGACTAG